GGCAGTTACGTAGGGGGGGGCGGGGGGAGAGAGTTTGACCCTCGTCTTTCAGTCTGCATCACAACTGCTAACATGAAAACTTGTCCTGATTTCTCTCCATATCACTTTTCAGTGTTGATCCGTGAGGTGGTTGAGAAGAGAATGGATATGTTTGAGCACAAGGAGCCCAAGTACATACCCCTGGAGTACACAGATGATCCAGGTGGCTCTGGGGCCACACAAGGGACACTAGGCTACTATGATCTCCAGGTAGCAAACACCTCCCAGGCCCACAGGCTCCTGGCGGACAGAGAGTACCCGTCAAGAGGAGGCTATGAGGGAAGGTACATGGAGAGAGGGCTGTACCAAGACGGGAGAGGTGCGGAGGAAGCTGACTACACCGGACCCGGCGTCTCCACAGACATGAGACAGCCCTCGGGGAAGGAAGAGCTGCCCCAGCTGTGAAATTCCATGCAGCCATGAAGCCCATCAAAAGCCCCATCAGCCATCCAGGCAGGCAGAGTGTGGTGGGAGCCCCCTCCCCGTATGTTGTTTAGTCAGCACGTCAACTCACGTAAGGGACTGGGTAAGTCAATGTGATAAAATAATAAGATGAATAAAAAATTAAATACTTAATAATAGAATATCCAGAGGCGCTAGTGTATCTCTAATGAGAATTACGTTTAATTACTAGCTTCCCATTGCTACCATCTGTGACTGACATATATGTACATATGTATGTGTGTATATGTACGTATGTATGTGTGCATATGTACGTATGTATGTGTGTATATGTCTATAAATCCGTCTAATTTTGTAAGTTAGTTCTGTTATCATAAGTATGAATATAGTAAAACCTGTGAAAGCCGGAATCTGTGTAAGGTGGAAAACTCACATCTTTTCCACTAAACAAGTGAGAGAAAAGTGATAAGGCTGCACCCTGTCAACGGTGAGACCCACAAAACCAAGGCAGTCTTGTCGAGTTCCAGATCTCAGTCGGTAAGCCTACTCTTCACTGGCTGACTATTGCGTTGTCCAACATTTTGCATTTACAACAGTGAAAACTCTGTCCAACTGTTTTTGTTTTTTTCTGTGTTTTATAGCCTTTTTATTATTATTAACAGACAAAAATAAAATAAAATAAAAAACCACAACACCACCTTACAGTGGAAACAGCAATAAATCAGACTGCTGCTGGAGTTCATGGGTGAACCTGGGGTATGTGCTCCCTCGTTGACAGGCAGGAACTAGGCCCATGACTGTGCAGTTAGGTGTGTGTGTGACCACGAAGAATCAGAGCAATGGAAACCAATAGAGAAGAGGAAGCATCAGGAATTTTTCATCAGGCAATCCCAAAGCATGCGGCTCTTTTTCTCTTCTTTGCCTCTGTATCTTCTGTGGTTCCAGGTCCAGCTGAACCTGTAACAATCCCAAATCGCTCCGTCCTCTTTTTTAGCTTCTCATCATCTTCAGATTCAGTCTGTGGTAGTTCAGATGTCATTGTTAGCACTTTGTTTTCTGCTGTCACATCAGCAGTGTTTTCAGGGTGTTCTTCCTCTTTGACAGGGCTTTGGGCTTTGGTTCTCTTCCTCTGTTTCATCTCCCAGTACATCTTCTTCATTTGCCTCCTCTTCAGTGAGCATGCTCTTCAAGATATGCCTGGAACCTGTTGATGAGATCTTGTTTTATTCCCTTGGTCTCCAAACCACGAGCAAGACATTCCTGCTTTAGTTCAGCAAGCTTCAGCTTATGAAGGTCCACCGTCTCCGCCACCATCTTGCTACCCACTTGGCTCCACTAGGCCCTATCCAACTGTTTAACAAATTTGTAAAGTAACAAGTGCAGAGATACAAGGAGGCAAGAGTAGCTGGCTGTGACGATTCAGGTGATTTGTCAGTCTAGCTGGGCCATGATTCTCAGTGGTTTCACAGGTTTGTAATAATGCAATTTGACAGTTATTTAATGATACAGTTTGGCTACTGTGTAATATGCAATTTGGCAGTTATGTAGTGATGCATTTTGGCAGTTTGGTGTTGATAAATTTGGCAGTTATGTAGTGAGGCAGTCTGGCAGTTTTATATTGATGCACTTTGGTAGTTATATAGTAATGCAGTTTGGCAGTTACGTAGTGATACAGTTTGGCAGTTATGTAGTGATGCAGTTTGGCAGTTACGTAGTGATACAGTTTGGCAGTTATGTAGTGATACAGTTTGGTAATTTTGTAGTGATGCAATTTGGTGGTTTTGTCCTGATGTAGTTTGACACTTATGTCCTGACACAGTTTGGTAGTTTTGTCATGATACAGTTTGGCAGTTACATAATGATACAGTTTGGCAGTTACATAATGATACAGTTTGGCAGTTATGTAACGACGTAGCCATCCTCATTTTTGTGCTCTGATGTGGTCATCTTCCATTTTCACCTCACGCTAATTTCACAATACTACCTGGCCTTTGGAAGCTAACCATGTCGATAAGTGAGCAGTGGGTGTGTCCATTATAAGTGTTGTCAGCCACTGAGCTTTCTCTTCTCTTGGGAAAACTTTGGTATTCTCTGAAAGCCCACCCACATTTTGTGTTGCTGGAACCTCTAGTGTGGCCTCCCACCAAGGGCTGAGAAGTATGCTTTTATTTGTACAGAGTTAGATAGTTGTCTCTTCATATTCCAATTATAAAAAACTTCAGACAATACCAGGAAAGCAGAAGTCCTTCTTGACCCTCAATTTGAAGGTCTCCACACCTTCAAGGTCTTGTTCAAGGGTCTTGACATAATAATGAAACCAAAATACACGGCCATTGAATCAATTCTGTCATATCCTCTACAGGCTTTCCGGGCTATAAATGCTTTACGGGAGCAGAAGACCTCATTTTCTAGTGCGAATCAGCAAGCAGGTGTGAATATCTGTCCTATCCTACAGCACCACCCAGGATCCTTTAGAAATACCAGGGAGCAGGTTGCTGGCTGACCTTGAGCCCTCAGGACCAACATGGTGGTGATCTGGAGGCTGAGTGTCTTTGGTGGTGCTCAAAGGGCCCAAGCTCTGTTCCTCCAAACCCCAGTGATTAGACCTGCTCCTGTCTCGGCACTTGTCCAGGACTGGTCTCCCCTAGGAGGGGGGCACACTCGCCTGTCCCCCAGCCACTGTTCTAGTTCCCAGGCTGCATCTCTCCACCGGACTGGTGAGAGGGTTGTCAGTGTTTTGCTCCTGGGTCTGCTCCGAGCTGCTTGTTTGAATCCTTGTTCTGCGACGGACTGCTCCCAGCTTGCAGCTCTCTCCCTCTATGGTCCCTGGGGCCTGGGACAGGCTGTTACTGACTGTGTCCATGAGGATGCACCACAGGAAGCTGCCAAGGCAGGCCTCCTGGCACTCTGGGCTTTAACCATTGCTGGTGTGTGCTATTGCAGGTACCACGATGTAGGCATCTGCAAAGCTGTTGCCATGCTGTGCAACCTCTGACTTTGTGACTTAGTCCCGTCAAAACTGAGTTTGCACCTCTTTGCCTCTGCTCTGTCACGCCATTGAACAGTCAATAAGGAGGACATACAGATGTTCCCCTGTGAGACAAGCCTCTTCTAGTCAAATTCTTCTCTGAATTTACTCTTTGAGGAGAAGGTGTGAGAGAAATTGCTACTCACAAAACAGTGCGACAGCATTGCAAATTCTGGTGAGATAATGGGATTGTCTCTTCTCACAAAACTCACAGTATGACATCATACCTGAGCTTTTACTTCTTAACAATCTCCTAGTGCGAATCCAGTTTGTTGCTATCAGCATATTATGATCACACCTCTTCTATATTTGTTCTAGGAATTATGAACAATTTAATTCATAAATGTTTGGCAGAAAAGTAGACGCTTTTATTTCTTAATAACCCCCTCTGTTCTGTTGATGGCTACATGTCCATGTGAAACTTTAAAATTAGGAAATGCTGATGTCTCACCCCACCACTCATCTGCCAGTTTGTCGTACTGTGGTGGCTAGCATGTTGTGGTGCCACGGGTACATTAAATACCAGCAGCATCACCCACGGCACATAGCTTTCCGCTGAGTTTCCAGACAAAGACAGACTAGGAAGGAGAGATGGACTATTTCCGAATATTTAGTCACTGAAGACCTTATAAATAGCAGCAATACTGTCAGCATCAGAATACTGAATATGGAAACATGATGAAGAGCACCAGAATATTGTCAGATATGTGCTGGAAGATGAGCCCCTCAGGTTGTAAGGCACTCAAAATACAACTGGGGAAGAGCTGCCTCCTCAAAGTAGAGTTGACCATGATGGCACAGATGAAGTAAAGCCTTTGGGACCTTCATTTGCTGATGGAGCACAACTCAAAATTAAAAGAAACACCTGCAAGTATCCATTAATAATTGGAACATGGACTGTACGAAGTATGAATCTAATTGGAAAAAATTAAATGGAAAGCACAGACATCGATATCCTAGGCATTAGTGAGCAGAAATGGACTGGTATTTGCCATTTTGAATATGACAATCACATGCTTTACTATGTCAAAAATGACATATTGAAGAGGAATGGCATCACATTCACCATCAAAAACAACATATCTAGATCTATCTTGAAGTACAACACTGTCTGTGATAGAATGATATCCATCCGCCTACAAGGAAGACCAGTTAATACCACAGTTATTCAAATTTATGCACCAACCACTAAACTCAATGATGATAAAATTGAAGAATTCTACCAACTTCAGTCTGAAATTGATCAAACATGTAACCAAGATGTAGTGATCATTACTGGTGATTGGAATGCAAAGGTTGGAAACAAAGAATCAGTGGTGGGAAAATACAGCCTTGGTAATAAAAACAATGCTGGATAGTGCATGATAAAATTTTACAAGACCAATGACTTTGTCTTCTCGAACTGGGGAAGAGCTGTTCAGAAAGTTTCTGTTCAGCTCTTTTGCCCTTTCATGGCTTCCATTGACTTTAGCTTCAAGCTGGGAGAACTCAAGAAAAAATTCAAGCCTCGACTTTCATTATTGAAAGATTCTCTGGGCAAATTATTGAATGATGTAGAAAGCATCAAGAGAAGATGGAAGGAATACA